CACACACACACACAGACACAAACACCCCATGTGCTAATAAATGAAAGCGCCCTTCATAACATTACGTAAAACAAATATCGTGGCTTCTACAACATCTACAGTATTACACGCAACAAATTGCATGGTTTGAACTTATCTAACAACTCGATTAGCAACATATCGACTATCGTATCATATAATCTTTGGCGGTTCAATCAACTTTTTTTTGTTTACTTTCTTATTTCTCTTTAATTTTCCAACTCGTTTGCACTAATTAAAAATGGAATTCACAAAATAGCCAAAAAATAAGGACTTGTATGCTTTCTTTTTCCTTCATTATATTTCCGTAAATTCTCGTGTTCATTTTCAGTCTTCCGTGCGATCAAACAAACAATTTTTTGTTATAATTGATAAAACAATTATAATATTCGCACGAGGCAGTTGAGGAGATAATCACTATGTTACAAACACATGGCAATTGGTCTCGCATAGAGTTCCACAATGATCTGAATATTTATAAACGTTGGCTTAGTGGACAACGTAGCGAGCTATTTTTGTATAAGGAAAAAAGATATAGTATATTCCAAAGCAAAATACGCAGAATATCTAAACCTCTTTGTATTCAAGCAAACTGTTGACTATACTCTTTTTATAAAACAAACTTACTTTATTTATTTATATATATATATACGTATTTCAAAATCGGGTTGCCGGAGGATATTAGAGATATTAGCAATAAGCGATATGTCATTAAGTAAATGGGAATCGTGGGCGAGCACATCTAAACACCAATAATCGTAGTGTTTCCACTGTTTCCACTGTTACTCCAACGAAATTCAACAATAGATATCTCGACACTAACCCCCGTGTTCTTAAAGAAAATAATGATGATAAGGAACACAATAAGTCATCATGTGTCCAGCTAGCTATATTCTTGGATCTTGGAAAGGCCGGACCTCATCTCTTATCTTATCGCTTTTCGCCTATAATTGCCCATCGCCTTTGGATCAGACAATCTTTTTTTTTTTTTTTTTTTTTTTGAAATAGGAGGGATAAAAGAAAACTATATCAAACCGGCTTTATACATAGAATGATTTTTTTAAACGACTCTATAAGAACTGAAGCAACGCTGATAGAAATTAACACGTGTTTAATTTCTTTATCACATAGTTTTCTCTTTGAAAGTACTTCTGCAATGATGATCGCAAGTGATGAGTTCAGGAGAGTCTCTCTCTCTCTCTCGATCTAGCTCTCTCTCTCTCTCTCTCTCTCTCTCTCTCTCTCTCTCTATATATATATGTATATATATTATTGTCTCTGTATTAATTTCTTAAAGTTATTATAAGAATTTTAAGTTTTTAATTTGTATTTCTTATAACACTATTATTGATGAAGTTAGTAGCATGAGCAGCAGTTGGTTTCTGTTTACATACGGCTTTCACGTAAAGAAGTTGTGAAACTTACGGAATTACCGTACTTAAATAAAAATCAATCAGTCAATCTCTGTCTCTTTCTCTTTCTCTACGTCTCTAGATAGGTCATTTTTAAATCCTTCATCTCATTTGTAACAGTTTTGCAATGAAAATAGCCGTTCATTTTTGACAGTGGTTGCACGCGCAGTGAACTAGTCGACCCGGAAGTGCATACTGATCGTATCCAACAACGTGCGGTAAACTTACACAAAGCTGCTTCCCATCGCAGTAATATCTCTCGCAGAAAGGGCTCACTTCAGCAATAAACATCTTCCTCTCTTCTTCAGATGCTCTCCATGCGGAATACGCCAAATGACCGTCGCTGTCGATTTGCGTTGGACGTCTTGACGCGTTTTGTGATGGAATGTCGTGGCACTCTCCACGAAAGATTCCTGCTCGAGTTTTTTCACCAGTCGTTAGCGAGAGACGTCTTTCAACTCTTTTTCCCTTACTTATGATTTTAACTTGTCGCCGACTAAAATCACCCTGGCTGAAACTCTCAGCATAGTTTTCGTGAATCTGCCAGTAACATGATTTGCCAGGCGGAGCTAGCCCTCCTTTGACAAAGCATTCATGAATGGATAAATTATGACGGACTGTGTTCTTCCAGCCGGCCCGCGATTTTGTAAACTCGTTGAACGCATGCTGAATAAACTGGTAAATTTGTGCAAGGGTTGCTTTCTTGATTGGAGAGGATAGAATTGCTACGGAGATTATAGCCTTGAATGTCAGTGGTGTCGTCTTGTGCTGAAGTGGCATTCTATGTACGGAGACATCGCCATCGTCTTTCCTACGCTTCATCGTACTTTCCTTAGCGATTTTACTTTTGTCTTCCATCGCTTTAAATTTGAATGGCTTTCAAAGCATATACAGTGAACCAGAAGATTACGACACGTAATGCAAATTGAAGCCAGTCTGATCGACTAATCGACATTCCTCGGATCCCACACTGTGTCCTATTTAACCACTCGCAGAGCAAGACAAGATAACATTAATCTAGCTCTACAACTTCAACACGTACATACAACTTTAGTCTCGGCTTAAACTGCTACTTAAAGCCCCACAAACTGGTATCTAAGCACCGTTGAAAAGACCGATATAACTCTTTCCATATTCATAAGTTAACTCCATGGGGTATCTCTAAGAACCTCGAGCTGAAAGGACTCGTCTCTACTCCTGTTGAATATAATCACCAACAGTTTTTAGACGTCTCACTGACCATATTTATTGGTTTGACTGTGCGACTCAGGTAGTTGATTGCTTTAATTCTAGAAAGATCTTAATTAAAAAGTAAACTTGTGTTTCTAGTTTTAAAATGAATAAATAAAATCACTATAAAACACCAACACACGAAATTGTTATCCGAGTTTTTAACAAAAAGGGTTCCTGTTCAGATATATTCCAACTGAGAAACCGTTCATTAGTCTAAAGGGTGCCTGTTTGCTCAAAATATGTAATTTCCACACTTCATTTAATTTCTTCCGTAGAAATAAAGAATCTTTAATTTCAATTCAAGCAAATTGCATTAAACATTTAGCTGCTTACTGGATATCTTTGTTTATTGCTCTGGGCGGTTCAAGCCATTAAAGCTCGGTTTTTGTCCAATTTCAAAGAAATTGTTTTGGTTAGAATGGAACCGAGTTTGTTGGTATCGGTTAATTTCGCTAACAAATACAGATTCTAGCGCAAAAATGAGAAGTTTTTTTCTTAGTTTATACCGTTGAAATGGAATAAGTTGTGCGTTAATTTCCCGCAAAATTCGCTTGAAACGAAACGATAGCTCCTCGATCGGTGTCGAGGTTGGATTTCATAAAATACGATCAATGTGTGAACACAAAATCAAGTCTATTACTGCGAGCAAGAGAATGCACGGAAGTAAAATATTTCACTCTTGCTGCAAGTTAAGTTAGATCTAGACTTAGTCAAGAATAAATTTACATATTGGCCAGCAGTGAACTTAACACCCCATCTGTGCAAAAAGGTTAGTAACTATAGTGACGTTTCTTTGGACGTTACTCTAGTCCTTTGTCGGAGTGAAAAAACTAAGCCATTGCCGAAACGCTTTTCTTTTCTTTCTGTCAAAACTATTCTAATTATCAAAAATCGTCTAATCCTTATTTCCTAGCGCGAAATAATATTTACATGACAGTACAATCCCGCAAAAAGTGAGTATCATAAGGTTCAAAATTTCGCGGAAGTACCTTGTATTTTTGTTCCTTGCACAACTGGGCGCATGTCTACTACAAGTCAGTATTCACCCGCAGCTCTCACAGCAGCAAGTCAGGCTTTATTAGCCGTATTTACCTTGGACTATGTTATCAAATTACATGTACAAGTTTTGTCCGAATTTAAACATATTTTGACGGGCAAATAGTTCATCATAGCGGATGCGAAAAGAGTTTGCAACCAGACCCATTGCAGTTTTGAACACTGAAGAAGAAGCTAAAAGAGCCGCCCGCACACGCAAACATAGAGAATACTAGTTAAATTTAAGCCAACCTAGTGTTAAACATACACTCAAGTTTTAGTCGTCATTATTCGTATATCTTGTCTCAAATTTCACCCAAAATTAAAACAGTTTTTCAAAATGTTTTCGTGGCCTTCCGAAGCACGCGCATAATTTTCCAACGTGAACTAGACGCAGACCTTGTATATAACTGGTACCCACGTGCATTTACCCTGTCAACCACAATATATAGTTTATTTGGTCATACCAAGCCAGCTGGCATTGAAGTGTCTGTGTGTCGGTATAGATCTTGAGTGTCTGGTCATTGCCTTGCTATGACCCCCTACTAAGTTAAGTCATTGCTACACTCCTTGTTTATATGTCTTGAAGTAATCAATAATTGAGTTTCTTGAGGGCTCCTTCTTATCCAATTCTACCCGCTGTAATATCTTCATTTTTAAGGTTCTGCTTCACGGTGAAAGTTTCCTGAAGCTTATGCCTTTGCATCAATCTTCAAGAGTATTCAAAGGAGCCTCAAAGACGTTGCATCGTTCTTTAAAGTTTATCTTGCGCGCATCCCTGCCGATTCGCCTTTTCCTCTGGTCCTTTCCAAACACACTACTTTGGCGCCGCTCAACTTTAGTTTTTTTTCAGTATTGACTACCTCCCATTGATCGCATAAGAAACTCATGTGCGCAGCACATGTGTCTTCGTTTTCTAGCGGGCATTTATGGCATGATGGTGTTGGTGATGATGATGATGATGGATCCTGGCCGATCACCCTCTATTGTCCACAACAACTGATGCACGTAAGGTACTCAACTGGAAAGAGCCTCACTCAACGTAGAATTATCATCGTTGTTTACACATTTTCAAATGTAAGAACAATTTCTTGTTGTCAGATCTCAAGTTGACTGGCAAGCTAAATGAGCATGGTAATARCACAAGAAATGGAAGTGAGTTTCGTTTGCCAAGTGTTGACAAATTTGGAAAACAAAGGACATCTTATCAAGCCATGAAAGAATGGAACAATCTTAGTAATGATATCAAACGATGCTCTAAGATTTCTTAGTTTAAATCCAATTACTTTGAAGCTTTCCAAAACATGTAATTTTATGCGTTTATCATTTTGTATTTCGTCTCATCGCCGGATATTTTTCATAACTCAATTTTGTTACATTATTGAAAATCACTATAGAGAAGAAGCATCCTGTTTAAATATTATTGTAAATAAATAAATAAATGATGATATGAAGAGGAGAAAGAGGAGAGAGCGTGATTTCATATACCCTACTGTTCCAGAGTAGAATCGCTGAAAATCATACCCTCTTTGGCGGCACGTACTCGTATAGCGATGATAGGAAAGTACCCCCCCCCCCCCCCCCCCCCCATCATAAATGACCTGTTAGTGCATACTATTACTCCTGCTAATATAAACAAACTAACAAACTGTTTGACATGCATTTTGATTGGCTACGCTTCTAATGCGTAGGTATACTAATCCATGATAGCCCTAGTATTTTGCCGAAGTTTTTTGGAAAATTTTCAAAATCTTACCGGTTATGATACTCTTTTCTTAATGACCAATCACTAAAACCTATACTGAAAATGCTATTTTGATATGTTGCCTTAGGAACAAGTAGGTTTACTGCTCCTTTATTTTGTTAAAGGTCCAAAACAAAACACATTACGCAACAAGACACGTGCTTACCACAGGCAGCCCAAATCACTCATCTAAACATCAAAATCAAAATGGCGACGAATGCTAAAGGAAACGTGAAACACCTTGTTGTGGATTCGGCTGGATTTATTAGAAACATCGAACTCCTTACCCTTGGGGAGCGAATATACACTATAAAAGAAGTTGTGCAAGAAATACGAGATGCAGCAACGAGACAGAGATTATCTGTCTTGCCGTACGAGTTGATTTTCAGACAACCTTCGACAGAGGCCATCAAAGCTGGTGAGGAGAAAATGCCTTAAAATGATTATATGTTTTACGTGTTTCAAAAATAATCCTTGGGCTATTGAACGTCTCATTTAGTTAGAAAGATTATAATAGGTCATAAAACCTTTGATTTTGGCTGAATATTCGTTCCTCATTGTTGAAAAACACTTTTTAAACACAAAGGTTTCACTTGTTTTTACATGTAGTTCGTCTTCCTTCCATTAAACCTATCATTCATCATTATGGTTTTCTCCTGGGTGTTTCCACAGATCGTTAGCCTTGTAACAGTATTAGAAAAGAGAATTAATTGATGAATGGGATGAATGTTGGCAAGCTTTAAAATTCCTAGTGCACATTTTACTATGAGGGAAATGTTCTCTGAGGAACTTATTCCTATTGTAAAGTATAAATAAACTACACGTAGAATATGTATGCATTTTCAAGACTCATAAGTTTTTTTTTGAGATTTAACCTCATTCTTTACTTTGTATTCTTTCAACTCAAAAGGGGGTTAATTGGCTAGTCACCTAATCCACTGGTTAACATAAAGTCAAGACTGGATATATATACTTACTGCAACCTTATAATAATTACTACACTGACTTCTAGTCTGACCTTTTTTGAACTACCCCTTTCCCAGCTGGCAGAGGCTTCTTTTTTTCTCCTTTGTTTTCAAGGAGAGGGAGAAAAAAAAGAAGCCTCTGCCCCTTTCATTAAAAAAAATTATTTGATCTAACCTCCATCCATGGTTGTGGACAAAAAAACTGGTTTTGTTAAGTTTTTTCATCTTTTCACGGTGTATAATTTACCTTTTCATCATTACTGGTTTTGAAACCGTTTTTTTTAATTGATCACCTCTACACATGACAACCACAGAGTCAGTTGGGGGTAGAGTCTCCTTTTCCTCGCAAATGCTGATCCAGCAAAAGAAAAAGAAAAGGAGACTCTGTTAGCAGGGAACTGCCTCTCACCCCTGAGACAATATTTTCAGTACTGATTCTACATGTGAAGTAAATAGTTGAATGGTAAAATATTTCTTGATTTGATTGATGTGTCTTTAAGTTACATGAAGGTTTATACTTCCAATAT